GAGCCTTCTTCATTTCAGTTTTTATCTTTCTTCATGATTGGAACCCAAACCATTCACGTTATTCAAATCACAAGGGTACCATGGATTTAAAAAGTGGCAAGACAACACTATTTTATTCTCTATTCCTTCCTTAGTAGTTCTGAGCATTTCTTTTACTTTTTTTAAACACTACAGAGTGCTGAGTTGACATTTTGATAATACAATTATAATCTCAAGGACTCATTCCTGTGTGGTAACAGACAGTTTAGAGCTCATCAATATGTAGGTAAAGTTGGGAATGTTTTTCTCAAGTGCACCACTTTAGAATTGTCTACAGGAACGACCTGCCTTCACAGAAGCTGCGCTGATTCTTCCCCAATGTGCCACACTTATCTTTGTGATCACCGTTTCCTATTCAACTGCTGATACCTTCTGTCCTATCCTTTGCTTGAATATACAGAATTGCAACAAATTCCCCACTTGGCAGCAAATTGTCCCAGGTTACATACTACTTATATGTGTTTTCTCCCTGCCAGTTTTAAACTTTCCTACAGCCTCACTGATGTTAAGCATCAGCAACCTTAAGCATTAAGTTAAATCTGTCCCTCCTGAGAAGCTCTCTGACATTCCAAAAGTGTCCTCAGTCCTTTACAAAGATCAGCCGTTTACTTCCCACACCATTTTCTCAGACATACACTGAAATACTGTCTCTTCAAATCTCTATCTGGTCCTGAATATAGTATTGGAAACATCACAAAGAATGCTGTTGCAGAGGTTCTGGTCTTCAGTTCCCTGTTGAACAGCCTACACTCTTCCTCCAGAACCTCTCTCATCCGTTTTCTGTCATTGGTACCCACCTGTACTATATACTACCAATATTTCCTAGAAACTTGGTTCACAAACCTCCTAAGGGGTGAGAAGACAAACGCTACTTAGTATTGTTTCCTTCAGGTAATAACTGAAAGAAACAATTCTAGAGAACAAAACCTTTTACTTCTTTCCCACAAAGATCATCAGGAGACCTTCCAGCTCTGTGTGCTATTTCATTATGAAGAGGATCCCAACTCTGCAACATCAATTATAATTCTACAACAAGTTGGCAGTCCATTTCTGACACACTTTCTCAAGCCTTTGTGTAGCACACGTCCAGAAAAAGATGAGCAGGATTGCTTTCAATATTCCATTAATTTCTCTGCAGCCATTTTTCATCAAACTGCAATAAATATCAGCCAGTTTTTATATTTTTACCTTTTGCTCCTTAAAAATAATCAGTGAATATAAAAATCAGTTATATTTATGAGAAGTGATCTACATAGTATGCAAGCAATAAAGATAAATATTTAATATTCTAATCAAGAGAATGAAAAGAAGTCGCACTATAAGCTGTAGGGTACCTGTTTGCGCACATATTCTACAAGTAACTCCAGATGCCGAGGGTCCTCACAGTTCCTGTTAAAAAGGTTTCTCCAAAGAGCTGCTGCCAGAACATGATCATCAGACAAGATTCCCTAAAGGAAGTAGAGAGGGGGATTAAAAACTGCACGTGAAGAGGGTCTGAACACAAGACAACCACATTACTTGGCAACTGACAATATTAGCTCTCTCAAAGCCCACAGCTGCTATGGACTGCATATATGAAAAGGCATCAACATCATTCTTTCCCAGAATGGAAAAACAACCCTAGCCTTAAATTAATTTACAGAGCAGCCTGTAACAAATACTCTGGCAAGTTAATTTGGAAAAAAACTAGGTCAGGGTATTCCTAATGCAGGAGCCAATAACTGCATTTCTATGTTATAAAATCTTTACCATAAAAATTTTGGCCTTACAGAGAAGACAGCACCACCTCACAGAATTGTGTGAAGCACATGACACTTGGAAAAGAAAAATTAAAGGATATTTAATACAATGTTGCAGAAATGTGGTCAAGACTTTGCTATTTTGCTTTGCTTTTCTATTTTGCATTCTAAATGAGAAAGAGAGAACTCCTCATCATCAAGAACTATCTAGATTTTTCAAGTTAAATCTAATATTAAATTTGACTTACATGCGAATCAAATCCATGAGTGCTTTTTGTCTAAATTCTCTCCCACTATTATTGTCTTTTTGGATTATGTGGTGTTATCACCATAGTCTCGTAACTCCTGTTTTCTGCTGACACATTTGCCAAAGGCAAGAGAGAACTTTAAAATATTCAGTTACAAATAAAAAAGGCCAACATTTGTCTTTAATTTAACTAGACATTTTGTTTCCAAAAACAGTGTCAACAAAAAGAGAAGAAAAAAAAAAATCAGACACAGGCAGACACATCCTGGCTATACTTAAAACTAAAGACTTGCATGCATAACACTGTCCACGACACCATGTTACAAGATATTAATAATGCAAATCATTGTGCAAAAAATATCATCCCCGTGTGAATACGAAGTGCACCTGAAGAGTAACACCAACTACAGCAAAAAAAAACTACTAAAAGAGATGATGTAATTGTATTTTCTTCTTGAACGTCCTGCAGACACTTGTGCAGAGTGGTGCTTTTGCCTCCCCATATTATTAGATACTTCCCATAAATACCCTCTCACATAGACTCCCTATAAATTCTCTCTTTGCTTTCGAAGTATAGACGAGTACAATCGGATTCAGGGGGAGGTAATGATTTATTGATGGTCAAGCAGTGACAGCGAAGCAGTACAAAGAACATTCCTCCTTCCATGTCCCATGGTTTAAATCAGTATGTTGTCTGCTTTCTTTTTTCTTACAAGCACTTTAATTCAAGGCATAAGATGGTCACAATAACTAAGAAGTCTGCTTCCATAATGTAAAATTTCTCCAAAGATATGTACGGCAAATGTTTTACTCATCTGGAGTAATCTGTGTCCATGAATTAGATGGTCTACTTGTTCTTGCACGTTCTCTGAAAACATCCTTCTTACCTCATCATATCCAAACAGAGCTGCATAGAAATTTTCTGCCATATTTCTCAAATCTTCCCTTAGAACAACAGAATTTATCTGAAAAATAAACCAGAAAACCATCTGTATAGGCTCTAAAGAGGAGGTGATGAGAAAATATTATCAGTTGCACTCTGAGTAGGCAAAGAAGAAACAGTGCCTTGGCCCACATAAGTTACAATGTGGCTTAAGTAATGATGTTAGTGCAGTCAAACATTTTAGAAAAACATGCAATACAGCTCCATTAATTCTGTACACAAATGAAAGTCAGTGTTACTCAGAATATGTGAATGGCAGAAAAATCCTCAGCCAACCACACTGACACATAGCTACAGGAGTGGAGAAAAAATGCAGCTGTAAGAGTGAAGGCAAGGCTGTCCTTTTAGTGGCAGCATAGGCTAAGATAATGAAGACTCCTCTGTTTTTTAACTATTAAGCAGTTTTCCAGACCTTGATTCATTCACACAGATCTTTTAGCAACTCAAGAGGTTTTTCAACTCTTTTTATGAAGGACGGACTCCAGAGCTGAACATGCTATTACAGTAAGAGTACTCTAATGCTAAAGATAGAGGCATCATCCCTACCACTACTCCTTACTTACTTGTCAATATTGACTTTCTCATTCAGGAATCACATGAATTCTGTTTCTACAGCATCTCACTAGAAGCTCAGACTGACCAGGTTTTGACTATGACTAAACTTCTTTCAGAGTCTGTGATGATCCAGCTACTTCCCCCTGTGCTGTAAGTGTGACTCAGGCCAAGTTCCACACTGACTTTTAACTAAATTTAACAGTTGCTTAAATATTTGCTGGTTTGGCTTAAGCCACCCATTGGATTGCAGAACTGACCCCATGCAAGTTTAAGATGGAATCAAAAGAGATCAACTGCTAGGTCCAGAGTGATGGCTGAAATACATCACGTGCACATCCCTCATACACACTGTCTATTCCTTTTGCCTGTACTTCTTACTTCAATCAACAAAATGATTTAATAAACAGTTCCTCTCCTGAGGGCTAAGCTACACTTCAATTGGTAAAGCCTCTTTGTATTGACTCTCATGAGAGATCTAAGAGATACTAAGTATTTCTTTTCTATAGATCCTGCATACAACACAAGTATAAATGACAAGGACGATTATCTTCATACCTGCATACTGAGACAGGTTTTACAAAAAAGAAACTGCAAACAGGAATACAGAGTAGGACATCAGTTCTACTATCGAATAAGCACTTCTTATGACAGTATGAACCACATGTCCTAAATACTTTCTTAGTTACCTTAAGAGTACCCACTTTGGTAATTATGCAACAGCTTTTCTATCAAAATATGAATTAGTTTTTGCCGTGCTAGCTAATCTCCAGTTCAAATATTCTTCCATTAAGCCACTATCTTTTTTCATCTGTTGATTTTTATAGAAATGCATATAGTGCAAACACAAGGAAAATTCCTTTTATGTCAGTTACTCATATTTTTCCATTAATATAAACTATTAAAATTCATGCAGATATTTTATAGGCTATCAAGATTTGGAGACTGGTTATTACTGAATGTTTAAAAAAAGAACTAAACATAAGAAATCAGAGGGTTAAATGATGACTGCAACTTCTGTAATGACTTAATTAAATTTTTATTGAGTACATAAACTATGATGTCATTTCTACCCAACCATGCTCAAACTTTCTATGCATGTCAGAGATCGTGGTTTTTCTCAATAGAACATACTTCTAAATAAGCTGCACTTCTACAGCTCTAATAAGGGGGAGCAGGTCTCATGTAACACACTCAATAAATTATCCTTCCATTTTAAACAAACAAATTCCATGAGTTATTATATATTTGCCACGCACTTTTTATGACATAATAAAAATGTTACCTCAAGGATTACTTAACACATACTACAAATGTTACAGCAGGCAACTGCAAGGGGCAAAGAAAACAAACAGTCCCATTACAGAGACAAGTTCTGGACTATACATCCCGAGGGAAGCAGTTTTCTATACTAAAAACAAAGAGCAGCAGCTTTAAGTTAGCAAGAAATAGACTGATGAAGGAGATAACCAAGTTAAACAAACATAGCAATAAATACATCTTAAAAGACAAACAGTTTAAAATATAAAATATGACTTTGGGGATGGAGCAGTATCTTAGGCAATAAAATTACATTTAAAGGAATACTGCAATTTCTGAAGAATATAACCGGTATTGGTTAAGTATAAACGTTGTAGGAAAAAATCCTTCTTTATAAACAAGAAAAATGAGTAAATCCAAATCAGCATTTGTTGGAAGCGCTTCCTCTTTTTAAGCTCGTATATGTTCTTACTACTGTTAAGTTTCATGATCTGGTTGGTCATGATTCTCCTGACTCTTCCACAGTTTGTTGTTAAGAAGAAAAACTGCTAGACAATTCCAAGTGAGTAACTGCTAGTAACAAGAAAATAATCAGTAACATCTGGAGCTTTTCTAGGGACTTAGCCCCTTCGCCTTCTTTGGAACAACCTATTGCAGAGCTGTCACCAGAATAAATTTATACACCATCGCCTCAATTGACACACAGAACTATCTTATCTTAGTTCAAAACAAGGATTACATTTTTGGTACATCTCTCACATTTACAAGACCTTTAAAAAAAGGAAATGTACAGCCAACATATCTTCCTTCTACATGTCACAGCCTTTCATTGAAAGACTCCATGATCCCACATTCTCCCTGCAAGACGACTACAGCATATGACTACTGCATTTTCATTATTATATTGCAGTAAGAAATCTCATCTGCAGCCTCAACGAGTTCAATATGCATCATTCAACAGTCAACTGGTAAGGCTTACTGCTGTATCAGACAATTTACAATATCAAGTCTCAGTCGAGTTTTTGTATTCTAACAAAATTTCTAGGAAAGTAAAAGCATAGTGCTTTATTGTATATGCTGGACATGTGTGAAAATATCTTATGTATGGACACAGTTTTTAAATTGAAAGCTGCTGTAGGATTAGTCCATACTAACGTCTTTTGTTGGATCAAGAGCATTCTTTTGTAAGTAATCTCCTCCTCATACCCACTTCCCATGCTTTCGTTTACACTGCAGAGAAGCCTCAGCGTTCACAAACTGCAAATGCGCTCTAATGCTCTCTACCTGCTAAGAGGCATTCAGCCCATGGGATCAGCCTAGAACCAGCACAAGGTAAAGATCATCCCCATGGAGGAGGGACGCTGGACCATCAACTGTTTCACTCAACAAATGTGTTCCCGTCAGACCACACTAAATGTTCCAAATGCTAGTGTAGACATAGCTGTGATGTCCACAGGCTACACTATTTGAAAGCACTTTCTGTTACGGTTTTTGCCAGCATGTGTTGCACCCTTAAGCTACTTTAACATATTAATCCATCCATAGACTATAAAGCCAGAAGGGACACTTCTAACTGCACCTTGAACAAGTGCTAGTCATTGAATTTCAGGTTGCAGTTCCTCTCTTCAGGCCATAAGTTATGGTTGAACTAGAGTTTTTATGAAGAGATTTCAGCCAGAAGAAATGATTAGATCATAGAACCTGACCCTCTGCATATCACAGACCATTACATTTCGCTGAGTTCCCTCTGTACTAAGCTCAGTAAGTTGTGTTTGGCTAAAGCATATCACCCTCACAGTTGAACATATGTATCCCATTTCATATTTGAATTTTCTGGCTTAAGTTTCCACCCCCTCATTCTCATTATTTCCTGCTAGAATAAAAAGCCTCTTCTGTACAACGTATTTGCTCCTGTACCTGTACACAGTAGACGTGTCGGCATAGTCATCTTTTCAAACTAAGATTAGGCTCTTTAAGGTACTGTTTACACTAGGTGCACTGATACACTACATCATCAGCGCACTCCTGGAGTGGTCAAAGTTGTAATAGCAAAGTAGTGTTTTATGCTGATACAGTAAAAATTAATCCATCTCTTGTGCAAAACAAGTTACATAGGTATGAGTACACTTTTGTTGTTATGACTGAGTCTACTCTGGGGACTTCTGTTAGCCACACTGCCATAAACATCAACTGACTCCTACTGACACTTTTAATTACTGGAGCATTCAATATCGGCAGAAGTTCCTGAAGGAAATATAGGATAAATCTTTTATGATAAAAAATGTCACTCCTCAAACATTTAGGCTTTTTTATGCCCCTTCTCTCAAGTTGCATTTGGAAAGAATGATTTATAATATATAGTTTACATTAGTTATAAATAATATAAAACCACATATAGTTATACATGGGCTTTTTAAGTGTTTGCTGCCCTTTTAATAAACACACATGACATTAAACGGGAAAACCCTTTTATTTCCTGCAATAACATAACTATTACTTGTAGGATAGTAATTTTGAAAATGACCGAGACTGTAGCTAGGATCAAAAAGATTAAATTAATAAAACAGATTAAAAATATCTCAGTAGCAAGGGGCCAAAAAGGCCAGTTCCTTCAGGCAATCTCACATAGTTGTGAAATGACAAAGATATTGCAGAAATTATTTTTCCAGTCTTCATTTTTTGAGTCTTTTATTAACCACTCCGTTACTTTGTCTGCAAACAAGCTTACTGGGTTGTAATTAGCTACAGCTGTGAGTCCCCATATACTTTAAAACATTACATTTTCTGATATATTCTTTAATCTTCTAATTAAAAGTAATTTTGTAATGTATCTCAGTAGATAATTAACTTCAGAGAACAGTCTTTAAAACCTTCTGCAATGTTCAATGACAACCTACTTTAATATTGTATTAACCTAGACAAAACCTAAATGTTAGATTGTATCAGAACCAGTTCCTGCCAAATCTTCATTCCATAAACCCAACACGTTAAAGGAAAAAGACTTTTGCATACTCTGCTACCTTCGTAACAATTGCATAATCATCAATAACACTCCTTAGAGCATGCTTATTTCAAGTAGGCATAGAAAAGTGAGTTATACAACATTATCTACATATTTCAGCAAAAACAGATGGTACCCCTAGCTGTCTAGTATCAAGAAAATGAGGTATGTTTCTGTCTTCCAGTCTATTAATTTGGAAACTCTGCCAC